ATCGAAAGTATAAAATACTAAAAATAATTGAACGGATAGTTCCAGGAAAAGTTAAAACTTGTTAATAATAGGCAAATACCCTAGTCTGTAAAAAACGGTCTAGTGACGATAATTCATAACAAATGCAAATCTTAAAATATTTCAAAATCGGTGAGTGCAAAGTATTAGCTAACCTTGACTGGATGGAGATGGTCCACCACTAGATACATGGCTAGAGAGGCCATAGGAGTTAGCCATCTGTTGAGATAGCATCTGCTGCTGTTGCTGCTGTGATTGCAGCTGTTGTTGGGATTGAGGCTGCTGTTGCTGCTGCGAGTGCTGTTGTATTTGATGTTGAAGCGAGTGCACATTTCCATGGTGGGAGTGCATCTGCTGGGGTAGAGATTGTGCGGCTGAGGAATTGGAACCAAGTGGTTGCTGAGGGTAACCGGAGTATGTCACAGCTTGGTTATTCAAGGACCCCCCTACGGTACCCTGGACCGAGCCCGAACCAGTATGATGATGGTAGGAATCGGTAGCACATGAAACTCCTCCCGTTGAGTGGTAGGTCGATCCAGAAGGCTGTGGCTGCTGTTGCTGCTGCAGACGTGACTGACTTGGCTGAGTGAAATGCCCGCTACCAGAGGCCGGACTCAGAGAGCTGCCAGCACCAGTGCCACTTGCCTCATCATCGGCCAGGAAGGAGTAACTTGACTGTGAAGGAGATTGACATGCAGAAAAGGAACCGGTACCAGGAGTACTTGGGCGGTTGTTGTCGGTGGCCTGTATCAATATGGAGAGCAAGGAATTTTAGATTTTTTCGTGAGTAACTAAAGCTAAATGAGACATATGAGTTGAATTTTCCCACAATGATGATGTTCTCCATTAAATTTCGCATAGCCTTGCTTCCCCAAAAGTCCAGGATAGACTGCAGTTTCGACTTTGCATAGGTCTTATCAATAGCCAATGCATAAGTCGAACCATAACAGTGCAGCGTGTAAGCTTGACAAGTTAGCCACTATGCCAGATTGCCATGAGCGCAATTGGGTCAGAGGGCAGATGTAGATTTCAAGGAATGTCAGGCATTTTCCATGTTACATGCTGTGTTGGGATTGTCGATGAAGCAAACTTATATTTGCTATACTAATCGATTACACTACATTTTTATCATATATCTGATTTACTG